AGGGTTTAGGGTTCAGGGTTTAGGGTTTAGGGTTCAGGGTTCAGGGTTTAGGGTTTAGGGTTCAGGGTTCAGGGTTTAGGGTTTAGGGTTCAGGGTTTAGGGTTTAGGGGTTCAGGGTTTAGGGTTTAGGGTTCAGGGTTTAGGGGTTCAGGGTTCAGGGTTTAGGGTTCAGGGTTTAGATATTAAGTAGAATGTTTAGAATCTAGGTTTGAATGCTCCGTATTTAGGAATTTTCATATAGTGATTTAGGTGTCTCGATTGAGCATTGAGTGTTAAGCGTTCTGTGTTCACGATTTAGGTGTTTTAGAGTTAAGTATTTAGGGTTAAGCAATCGAGCTTAATTGTTTGCTTCTTATGTGCTATATATGTATTTTCAATATCTTCATAAATACATCGTTGTTATTATATTATGAGCAACAAAGGCACGTAACAAACATGATTCATGGTTAAAAAAATTAAAAAAATCCTCAGAGCTCTCAGCAGTAGCACAAACGTATGGACGAGACAGCGCATGCTAACCCATCGATAAATATTTGCCTGAGCACACACTAGCTGTGTAATATAAAGCGAATTAAAATCAGCACTGATTATTACTCCCAAGTTGTATATATCGTATATGAAACCACTCATGTATACTATGTGCCCTTGATTCCTATAGTGCTTTAGGTACGACGCCAGTATGAATTCAGGTAATCTTATGTAACTATGGTGAGCGCTATGCTCTCCTTCAAGGTTATAATTATAAGATAAAACTATTGTGCACCATCTTCTTATATTTCCTGTAGTACATTTTACTATTTATATCTTATTCCCATGTTTCAATATACGTTCTGTCTCTAACACCTAGGCAGTTGTGTACGAGAATAACATACATTTTTATAGAATGCAATATTACCATGCTTCTTCAGGTTGCTTAACCTTGTCTCCATTTAAATAATACTCAACAGCGAAGGATGCACATGATACATAATGCTAAGTGTTTCTGCGTGCCGCACCTATTCCAATAGGCCATTTCGTTCCTTAATACTCCCAAATGTAATATACATATGTAGACAATCTTCTTTCATTATATGTGTGTAACTATTACAAGACGTCCATACTTGTACTTTCATGTTTTTTCCATTACATAAGGCAATAATAAGCATTGGCGCCATTTCATTATTATGTCCTACCAGAATGACAATTATCCATTGTTCCCACTTGTACGCCCAAAGAGCTATATAAGCTCCCTCAGTCATAGTCCTTGTTCAAATGAAATTAATCTTTCTCAGATTCTGACAAAAAATTTCCCCGGATACCTACTTTGCTAACTCCCTCCCACACACTGCGTAACGTTTACGCTTAAGATTTGTCCTCCTTTCCCCATTTATGCCTTTACGCTTTCTCTGACATAACACCTACTTCTAATCCAGAAGACTATAAGGGAAATACAGAATGTGTGAAAGGAGGCTCAGCTTATGGTTATACAATTAAATGATAAAAACAAATTATGGCCTGTACCACAATATTCCCATGTTCTAATATAAGTAATTAGTCTAATTTAATGGAAAACGAAGAACATTATTCCAAATATTCCTACAGGAACGATGATTTTCCTAATAGTATTTGAGTTTAATTCATCATACACCGTTTCTGAACTACCAGGAGCATCCACAATGGTTGCGCTGTTTGCATGTACCCTCCCGTTAGAATTATATGATGCTACTGCGTAAAGACATGTTCCACAGTGCCCCCGTCTCTCATATTTTCCTCCTCCGAATACAAGAGGAAACCTTATGCTGCGGACTCGCAAGAGAGATCTGACAAAATATAGTGGCAGCTGTTGCGGATTACCTTCAGAAAGGGTACTACCCCAGCATAGCGATGCCGTGAAATATGCCCGTTGTGGTAGGTATACGGGTGACAGTCCTCTATAATTAGGTCCTCGCACAGCTGCTTCTCATGTTGTCAGTTGTATATTAATTATTTTTTGTTTTATTGCCCTGATAACCACACAACGTCCTCATCACGAGCACATACCCTGGACATGACCCCCCTGAGTGGTCTGCATTTTATCAGAGTGAGTCTTCCTACGGGTCACAAGAAAAAAAAAAAAAAAAGATGAATTACAACAGGAAGAAAAATGTAAAAATGGACCAATGCAATAATGGTAAAATGGTAAAATTGTAAAACGCACAAGCAACATTCTAAATAGAAGAAGACAAAAAAAAAATGGAACGTAGAATATACCACTGCAACACAACAAAATGGGGGTGGCGGGGAAAAACAAGGCCATTGTATTTCTTGTCCTAGAATGAAGCTCTCATGCTCGTGAGGCTACTTAACAAAACAAGGAGGATGTATGTAGTACCTTGGTGTGGAGGTTCCCTTGCACATACGCACGCGTCACGGATGTTTGAAAAAGCTTGGCATTCCCCACGTTCCATTTTACGTTTCGTATAAACAAAAAAAAAAAAAAAAAAAGAAAAAAAAAAAAGGGGGAAAAAACATTTTTTTTTTTCGTGAGCATACAATCCATGTAGAAGTCTTTTTTCAAATGCGAAACAAAAAGTTGCAAATTACAAAAAAAAAAAAAAAAAAAAAAAAACCCCCAAAAAAAAAAAAAAAAAAAAAAAAAAAAGGACATCA